ACTAATATACAGACATCTCTAAAACATGATCAATTCTTCACTATACTTCTGAGAAAGACTGCTGACCATTACATAATTACAACAATAATAATATCTTTATTCATATAAGACCTTTAAAAACAGAGTTTACAAAATGATTAAAGCAAAGCAAAAGCAGGATACAAAAGGAATATAAAAACAGCAAACACAGAGCAATCAAAAGTGAGCCAAAATGAAGGGAAAGTCAACACACACACACATTTATTTTGACAGGCTGTCATGCTACGACTACAACTATCTCACATTCACACACATTGTTTTTTTTCTTCACATCGGCTTACGTTAAGCATTTGTTCGGGCCTGCACGTTCTCTTAATATATATCCATGGCCTACACATTAATATAATATTATTAGAGAATTATTATATCATTATATAATTTCTCCTGGCAGGGCCCAAGTCCTGGATGGTGGGCCTGGCCCCCCAGGGCCTGCCCTTGATGCCAGGCCTGTCTCAGAGGAAGTATATGTGCGTGATGTCTGCGTAGAAAAGAAGGGAGAGGTTGTGCTGTTAGATGCTTTTTCAGTGGGAGCATGTATCTAGAAAAAAAAGTTCGACCAACAATTACATTTTGAGAGACAACTCAGGTATTGTGAGTAAAAGAAGATTAGTGGTTATCAGATGCATCAAGCAGCCCTGCACGGGTCAGGTTTTACAAATCCAAACCTCAAAAATAGAACAAACCTTATACCAGTAAAATCCGGACTCCTGATGATGTGTGATTAAACCATGGACTGTATATATAAAGGATTAAACACACAGGTTACTAAATGACTTTATTTAAAGTTCATTATGTTTATCATGTTTTGAGCTGGGTTCACTGTTGAATCACAAATCCTGCTGAGATAAAGTCTCTTTTACTCTGTGGAAAGGCCAACACTAGAGCTGTACAGAATGCACCGGGAAAACAATTGGTTTGCTATTGTGGTCGTATAAATCCCATTGTTGCTTCTGTAAGATGCTTGAATGCAGCAAACTTGAAAAGCAAAACCTCTTCCGATGGGGATTGAAGCAGAATATGTTCTTAAAAATATACGGAGAACATTTTGTAAAGGATTACATCTATCCTTATGAGGTGGAAACTGGCAGACTATAGAAACATGTGGTACAACATGTTGGGTCTACACCAAGCCCCCAGGAAGTGGGGCGGGGGTTGAAGCACAACAGCTAAATGGGGATACTATAAATACCCTGTCAGTCTGTGGCGACATTGGGCACAAACATTTCTTTTTCACATTGACTCACATGGAAAAGAGAAATCTGTCAACTAGCCAAACACTTTTATATCTTTTATTTAAATCATTAGGGTCTTAAAGTTGTCAAATGTGCTACAAGCTGAACCCAGAGTGACCCCTAACCCTCATGGAATACTGTGAGCTACTGCCAATGTTTTGTTCAATAAAGATATAATAAAATAAATAAAAAATTCAAACGATATGTTACTGCCAGTGTTTCCCGTTAAAAGTGCTCTACTGTCCACATGAGGTGCGTTTTGGGAAATGTTGCAGGAAACCGAATGTAGTGTCTCCAAGGTTAGTTAGATAATACATATTTTTGTAAGTTATTAAGGCGACAGCTGAGCAACCACAGTGAGCTTTAATATAAAGAGACACAGCAAGGAGTGGACACTGTGTCTCAGCACCTTGATTCATAGTAGTAAACTACTCACTGTTACACAATAACCATGTGTCGCCAAAATAAAGAAAAAGGAAATTATTCATATTTTATGGATTACAACTTTAACCCCTTTATACGTTTCTAAAAGTGGCATCATGTTTTTTTAGTCTTACATCATTTACCTGACAAGTTAACAGAATCACACATTTGGCAGCCTGCTTTGATGGGGATGCCATTCACTTCACATATTCTCCTTTTTAGTTTCATGCTTCCTGAAACGAGAGGCCATGCTGTGACCGCTGAGCTGAGGGTCCTCATATTCTGATAAACTGCTTCATATCAGTGGCCTGTCTGGACATTGTGTAGTCGTAGGATACATCTGGGTTAAAGATTGTTCAGTGCAGATAAAATCCCCATGAATGAGTCAACAGAGGAATAGATGAATAGGAGCCGAAAATAAATACTACAGGCATCACTTCCTCATCCTGCTAATAATGGAAATTGTTACAAGTTAGACACATCTATTGTTGTTTGTTTGGCTCATCTAACTCTCCTGTCATTTCAGATCCCGCCTTCCTCCAGGCCCTTGTAATCAGCTCACTTTAGGTGGTGCAAGCATAAACAATCTAAGTAAATAAGTTGCAATAGTATTTAAAAAATAGAAACGTATAAGGATAATAAAAAACAAGTATTTTTAAGAAACAATTTAGCATTAAAATAAGAACATAAAGACAAGTATTTACACCAAATTTGTTGTTTAAATATACAAAGAACCTTTAAAGCTAAAAACCAAAAACACTTCACCATACTATTTATAAAGTATATGTGGCGACAAAAAACACCTTTTAGTAGGAAAGCTGATTGTAGTGTTTAAATACACAGGGAAATACCTTTTCAGTTATACTAATGTGTGTGCATTTTTAGAAATGCATGTCAGCAAAATAAAAATATTGGCAAAAATCCAATAATAATATCGTGACAATTTATACTATTAATAATGTCCACATATAAACTGTTATGGATATTTCTGATGGATATATATAAGCGTACATACATGGTTGGTTGTTTCTAAATCATTTTAAGCATTTAGTGTATTTTGTATTTCTGGTACATATTTGCTGACATAGACATTTAGCGAACAACATGCTAGCAAACAACAGCAGGGACTTTCCCTCCACTGAGATTGGCTGTTAATGTCACTCTTAGCTGATTTACTGGTTGTTCTCTAATGCATACACAGGATGAAGACAGGAGTTACATTTGTATTATTTAAATATTTTTGAATGTATGTTGCTCTTATACTGTAGACTGAACAAGCCTCATTGGAAGCCTCACGTTGGATGGATTAGGCCTCTTTTACTACATGTTTTGCCCTCAAATGTTTTTGCTTTGCTTTTGGAGTATGTGTGGTCCTTAGACATGCTAATCTAACCGTTGAGCTTTCTGCTGTGTGTTGCAGTCTGACTATGAGCCAGCTGTACGACAAGGAGAAGGACGAGGACGGCTTCCTGTACGTGGCCTACAGCGGGGAGAACACCTTCGGTTACAAAGCCTTTTATACAACACAGGGTTAATGCAACACTGAATACCAGTTACTTTCTCTCACACACACACACACACACACACACACACACACACACACACACACACACACACACACACACACACACACACACACACACACACACACACACACACTTTAGGGCCCTCCATATATACTGATGCATAATAATAAGCTTTTTCATGTGATACACAAGTAACACACCTACACATAGGTATTTATGGTCAATTTTGATACTAGAAAAGATACATTTTATGGTGAAAATTAACCTACGCCAATATGCTACAACAAACAAACAAGTAACACACTTGTATTTTTGGAAGGCTCAGATAATCGTCAGTGTCAAGAAATGGTTGGCCTTTAGCCATGATTACTGTTTCAAGATTAGTTGTGGAGAAAATATCTGTAACACTGCCGTTAAAAATAAATAATGCACACTGTAGGCACATCAAATATCATTAACTTTCCAAGTACATGCCAATGTTCACTCATTACACAATTTGGTAAGGTCCGGCTTTGCTTTCACAGATATTTGTGTTCAGCTGAAGTGAGTAAGAAACTCTATAATCATGTGACTAGAATCATTAACCACGTTATGGATGTATTTGTATGGCTTATTGTATGGTGTATGAAAACTGAAGTATTTAACTAATGCCACAGCACTACGATGAACTATAAGACCAACTATAAGCAGCTGATTTAGCTGGTGAATGATAATGGATACCTGCTAGCAGAGAGGCAGCCTGTTTAAAGTGTGTGTCCCTGAGGGTCAGGGACCAGCAGTTACAAAGTGCTTCCAAGCCTGGCTCTTATGTATTTTAACGCATTATGTCAGATGTTGGTTAGACCCAAACGGGATGCATACTCATGATGCCAACAGCAAGCCATGATCCTCAGTGACCCGCTGAAGAAATCAACACTTTACTTGAAGAATTATGTTTTTTAGTGTTCTCATCACAGGGCAACTACTGTATGTGAAATGTATAACTAAAACTCAAGCGGAACCTGTAACCTCTTGGCACTTTACCTGTTCTCCGCCTACCCCCATTGTCTAGCTTTACCTAAGTAAGAGATTTCTACACTCCCCTCACATTTAAATTTGTCAAACACAATTCTTACTCATAGTAATAATAATAGTTGCAGTATTCGGGTGTTAGCTTCTAGTTTTCTTCGACCAGTGGCATTGATTTAGATACAACCAAGAGATAACAGTCTTTTAAAGAAAAACTGCAAATACACTGAGAGTCCCACATAGGTACACATTCACATCAGAACATGCACATTATCCATTTGTATATGTTTATAGTTCAAATACACAGGGCTCTCAGTGGAAATAATAGTTAATAAAATGTGCAGAGGGCTTTCCAACCTGTTATTAATAAACCCTGTGTTCATGGTTAATATATTCTGCAGTGTTATTCACGTTTCAAATGCTTCAAGTAAAGTGTTGCTCATGTGTTTAGCTTTGTGAGTGTCAGAGCGTCTCTCTTCTTCTCTCAGATAACGATATCTGCAGTTTTTGGTGCTGAATCAGAGTCAAAGTCATCAGGCTGTTTACCATCCTTTACTTGACCCATAAAAGTATTCATGAATGTGCACCATAAGCTGATTCAGGCTTTAAACACAGTATGTAGATGTGTAATATATTGCTATAATATTCAGTATTTTTATTTCTTCAATGTTGTAGGTTTGTTAAATCTAACTAAGACATTTTAAATATTTGACCATGGTAAGGTAGTTGGAAGACCTGACCAATACAAATAAATAAATGATACGAATCGTAATGTGTTTGAAAAATGAATATATATTTTATTTCATGAACAATGTGATATCCTGTGCAGTGTTATAGAACAATGTTTTACAAGCTTGTCCCTTTAACTGTGAAGACAAAACACAAAACAAGTCCAGTGAAGTTTATTTGTGTAGGCCAATTTCACAAATCTGCTTCACAATCCGCACAAGATACAACACCTTCCTTCAGAGCAGATGTGTAGATTTGTCAGACGTGACAAAAGCTGAAATCAAAGGAACACACCAGAAAACAAGTTACTTGTTTGAATACTCACTTCAAGATGAGTCATCGAAAATATATAAAATATATATATTTTAGGATGTAAATAGAGGGATTTCTAATATAAAAATATTAGTGTCTTACGTTAGGTAGTGATATACATGCAAACTTTTGTTATTCTCTATATATTACAGGTGATCTGACTGCTAGCTCATGATTTCAGTGAGTTATTTTTAAAACTGTATGACAGCTGAACTTCATCACAGAGCTGCTTGTGAGGCGTTAGGATTTGGAAAGCTTCTCCCTTGAGCCTCAAAAGACATAATACAGTAAAAACGATAGTTACGTCTGTAACTACGGTTCTATGAGTCCCGGATGACCGCCAGAGTGTCCTGTCACTCAGAATTCTTCAAAGTGGAGTGAGAACGTCCACTGTCCAGAAGGGACTGCAGGAACTCTAGAATGGTGGCCACAGAGCAATGCTCCGGATTCTCGGCCTTACCCGAACACCAGTGGGAGAAGAACTTCCATTTGCACTCGTACTGTGCTCGAGTGGATGGTGCTCTGGCATTCAGGATAGTTTCCCTGACAGATACCGTGAAAACGCTCAACAGCAGGTTGGGCCCCGCAGAGGCCAAGCCCAAAGCTGAAGGCGGTGAGGGTCGGGATTCCAGATCTGACCCCTGAGCTGTGACAGAAAAGGTCCTTCCTGTCGGGGAGACGCCATTGGTGGGCTGCAGCAGAGACTGCGCAGCAGTGGGAACCAAACTATCCCCGGCCAGCGGGAGGTGACCAGAAGGAGCCTGTGCCCCTGAGTAAGGACCCTCTGAAGCGTCTGTAGTATCAGAGGCAGTGGCGGGAAGGCATACAGGAGACTGTCAGGCCAGTCGTGCGCCAGAGCGTCCTGGCCCATCGGGCTGGTCACCTCTGCCCAGGAAAACCAGAGGGGGCAGTGCCTCGACTCTTCCGAGGCAAAGAGGTCCACCTCGGCCCTGCCGAAAAGGCTCCAAATTGTCTCCACCACCTCTGGATGAAGCCTCCACTCCCCTGGTGGAGGCTTGTGCCAAGAGAGGAAATCTGCGACCTGATTCTGGTCTCCTGGTAGAAAGACTGCCCGCAGACTGGCCAGGCGGGGGAACGCCCAAGACAAGAGGCTCTGTGAAACCCGGAGCAGCTGTGTGGACCTGGTGCCCCCCTGGTGGTTGATTTGGGCCACAGCGGACATGCTGTTCAAACGAACGAGCACATGCTTGCCCGCCAGTTGAGGTAAAAAGTGCATGAGTGCAAGCTGCACAGCCCGAAGCTCTAGCACGTTGATATGGCGTACACCTTCCTGGGCAGACCACTGACCCTGAGCAGTCCTGCCCTGCCACACCGCACCCCACCCTGAGAGACATGCATCCACAGTGACAGTCTCCCGGCGGGATGGGATGGCGCCCACGGGCACGCCCATCAGAAGATAGGCCCTGTCCCCCCAGCGGGACAGAGAGTGGAGGCACCGCTGAGACACCCTGACTTCCCTGTGCCTGTGCCACTTGGCGTCCAAATGAAGGCTGTTCAGCCACATCTGCATGGGGCGCAGCGACAGCAGGCCTAACCCCTAGATTCCACCGGGTCCGTCTGCGTCGCGTTACGGCTGCGCCGCGGCGTTCGCAGAGATCGCGGCCACTCTAGTCAATGGGTGCTATTCCACCAGACGCGCCGCGCTATGGCTCAGAAGTGTCCTAGAAGCGTCTCGGCGCTGGGCTCCGCTCAAAATAGGATTCAAGTCTATTTTGCGACGCGAGGCGTTGCAGAGGCGCCGGGCAGGAAGTGGACCGGTCAGAGCATCCGGCCCATTCCCAAAATAAACAAATTTTGCAGACCCTATCCCTCCGTAGTCTTTCAAGTAGGAGAAATGCCAGCGTTCTCCTCCGGTTTACAGGCACTGTGTAAATTATAGGCTATATATAGAATAATTATGATGATAAATGCATTTTTTGAGGCAGCCGTCAGTCTGCCCAAGAGCCGGAGGAACTGAATGTAAGGCACCCTCTTGCCCAGCCTGAAGATTGGAAGAAGGTGGGAAATGTCGTCCGCACGACGCAGACAAGCCAGTCGTCTAGATACGGCAGGACCTTCACGCCCTGCGCCTGCGGGGTGGGAGAGCTGCCGCCACAACCCTGGTGAACACCCTTGGAGATAAGGAGAGACCAAAGTGAAGCACCCGGAACTGATAGTGTCGGCCCTGAAAGGCAAACCTCAAGAACTTCCGGTGGTGGGATGCAATTGGGACGTGGAAATAGGCGTCCCTCAAATCCACGGTTGCGAACCACTCCCCCTGTGCGACAACACGAAGGGTGTCTGCCAGATGCAGCGTAGCTGGGAGTGGGTGCGAGAACACAGCCTTCCCCAGCTACCTGCTGAACGGAAAGAGTAGAGCAATGCTCCTACTCGCCGAACACAGAGAGGGATGTAACTACACCCACGTTACCGGCAGAGGGAGCGGGAGCGAGAGCACTCCCTTCACCTAGCTGGATTAAATAAAGAAGTTTAACAGGACAGCTTAGCCGGGCAACTGCTGCTATAATCAAGCAACACGTCCACCAGGAGCGGGGGCGAGAACACTGCCTTCACTGGTTGAGTTAATAACGAAAACACAAAGCTAAGACCAGAAAACTGTCTTCTAAAGAAAAAACAGCATGGGTAACTCCGGTGGTTATCCCAGCGTCAGCCAAGTGGCTGCACAGGCAGGGCACAGTTAGGCTGAGCCACGCTACTGCTAACTAGCTAAACAAGAAAACGCAGCTAAAGCCAGAAACTCAAAATGCTAATGATAGCTTGGCACAACAAGGGCAACTCCTGGGAGATGGACAAATAATAGCATATCCAGTGCTAAAGTAGGGACGAAATAGAACTGTTATTACAAGTAAGACATGAAAACTGATCTGATGTGTAAATCTATGGCTGGCCCTTCAGTTCAGACAAATAAGAACGTAAAAAAAGGAAGTTGAACCCGGAACATTTTCCACTTGAGGACAGGTACGTCCAGCTGTGTTTTTGAGAACATGAGAGCCAGCCAGCTGCAGTCACACTGTCTCACACTGTGAAGACTGAAGCTTCATCCGAGGACACGGAGCCGGGTCCCCCCCCCCCCCCCCCTCTCTGAGCAGTGAGACAGCAGAGCGTCCTGCTGCTGCATGCAGTGACATCAGAGAAGAGTCCAATAGGCAATTAGAGTGTCTCAGGAGAAGGCCTTCAGTGGAACAGCAGGAGGCCCCTGTCAGTGCGAGGCCACAGAGGGAAGGCCTGGCTGAGGAGCTGCTGCCAGGCCTGCTGGTAACTCTGAGCCGCCTGCTTGTAGTCCCAGTAGGTGAGCAGCTCTGCCCCCCTGGAGAGAGAGAGAGAGAGAGAGAGAGAGAGAGAGAGAGAGAGAGAGGAGAGAGAGAGAGAGAGAGAGAGAGAGAAGAGAGAGATGAGAGAGAGAAGA